GAAACGAGAATGACTGGGCAGCCAAGCTCACGACCTGTATACCCAGCTGGAGCGCAAGTGCATCTACGGCAGGGAGTAAGGTGCCAGAGAACTGCCAGCGCCTACCAGGCTGCGAGGGTCATGGTTTGCTGATTCTGGCAAAGCAGATGCTTACAGGCCTTTATCCAATCACACAAAGTGCTGGCTACTCGTGATAATCCACCGGTCTAGGATCTCTCTAGCTTGGTTCCTGTGTGACTTTAAGCCCATGCGCACAGATAATACAGAGTAGCCAGGTCAAAATCTCGCGAAAGCCGACGTGGAAGTCAGGTTTTTCATAGGATTTCTAGTCATGCCTTTTCTGGAAAAAAATTGATTTAAACCACTGTATGGTTTTTTAACTTCCAGTGTTCACTAACGCCGAAACTGACATTGACATCCAAAGACCGCCCAGAATAAAAAATAAGTCCAAAACCTCGAAGACACTTTCCGATTTGACTGTCGAGAAGGTTGGTCATCCCAGTATGGAAGGATGGACTCGTTTTGCTCTGTATAAACACCTTTGGACTAAACATACCGTATGCTTTCGAATGCGGCAGGCCATTGAAGTAGACTGTTGATCCTTCGGTAGCCGCCTTCATGCATATTTTAGGTCCGTTCAGTCCCAGTTCAGGGCAAGCAGAACTAACGCAAAATTGCTAATTTCGTTTACGTGTGAGTTAAGATTAATTTTATCTTAGGGTAAGCTAACGGCAATTTGAGCACGCTGACGAATAGTTTTTTTGCGATTTACAGAGACCTACATGCGCACTAGGGACTAGATGTATTGCCGTGCAATTATGGTTCTTTACTTTTGCCTCCGTCTTCTGGTTCTAGCTAAGATAGAGCTTGTTGCTTGAAAAATGATCGGAGGTATAATCACGTCCACTGTCAGGGGTGGATACAGGAATAACTGCCCTCAGTATTACAGCCGGCCTTGAGCTAAATTTCAGGAGGAACCAAATTCCGTGTCTGGAATTCAACTCTAACCCTAACAATAACCCAAATTCTAACCCAACTGCTCTCAAATTTGGCGCAAGGCCCCCTGCGATACGTGTAACTACTTACTTCCTTGACCTATAGCGGTCAGAAATTTGTAAATTGTGCGGACAAATTTAAGTGACGAGAACCTCATTTTTCACGACCTAACCCTGTAAGAACGCGTCACGCTGTGCGTTTTTTGGTGTTCGGTCATTTCGAAGTCACCTTCTGCAGGTGGGTTTCTGCTACTGCAAAGCCCTATACACACCCTACACTCACTGTTTTCTAGAATCTGAATAGTTGGGGAGTTTATCGAATAAGCGTATTTTCAAAAAGTATGACTTGGATTGAAACTCTGATTCGGGATCATGATGTATTCATTTTGGACTACCTGGCTGCGCTGCCCTGGAGGCAAGGCAAACTTAAGCAAATGCTGCGTGGACGGATCACTAAAACGAACCGATCTGGAACTGGACGCTTCCTGTGCTACCTCCGCATGCCAGACACCATGGTGTGGTTTGCCTTGTGTAGAGCTTTTGAATTTACTTCTTCTTAACCTCCTACCGAAATCACACTTAGCGCAAAATGACTACCTATGAAGTATGCATTTTTCACACTGATTTTCGACGACCTTATAAATTCAGACATATCTTTTAAAAAAATTAGGGAAAATGTGCTTTATTTTACTCGTTCGATAGAGAATTGCGTAGACTGTATATTTTATACTCGATGAAGGAATATAATTAGGTTTTTCAGAGGTTTTTCAATTCCCGAATAATTAGGGGCCTGGTCAGGCATTGCATCAGCACACAGGGATTTCAGTCTACAAGCTGCGTGCACTCCACGTGCACTCCTCTATGCCTTTAAAAAGATATAAGATAGGATGCATATAATTTTGCAATGGATACGGACTATACTGCACGTTTCGTGAGAAGCAGTGGCAGAGGGAGAGATACGATGCTGCATGAATGCCCATTACACGGCCCTAAAAAATCTCATAATAAGAAACTTTTTCAAAAAACCACTACACTCCGTTCTCGAGTGTAAAATCCAAAGACAACACAATTTTCTATCAAATGAGTGAAGTAAAGCATATTTTGTTCATGTTTTTACAAGATACATTTGAACTCATAAGACCATCGAACACAAATGTGAATAATGCATGCTACAGAAGCAGTCATTTTTTGCCGAGTACGATTCTGCAGGAGATTGAAAAGAAGTATATTTAAAAGCAGACATCCTGCCGAGCGGGAAATATTATAGGATTATGCCGCATGCTGGTCAGTATTAAAACCCCATCAATGCAATACTTCCTAATCGAAAACTCATTTCGGAATTCCAGCTAACATTTCATGAGTTCCGTCAATCACAGCACAAATACACACTAAGCAGTCTTCCGGCACAAACCAGGCAGATGTTCGGACAAAACCAAGTTACGTAGGCTGACAACAGCGAGGTGATTCGACTGTGTATTATCCAGTGCTCAATATTCAATGTTAACAGCTTTTAGTCTAAATATGTTTTCATATTTGAATTTTCACTGCAAATTTTCCACTACAAAGAGCCACCTTTGTGCAGGAGAAATACATGCGGGATTCATGTTATGCGTCATTAAAATGCTCGCAGCATAATCCGAGAGTGTGTGCGTTGCAAAGTCGTCATACGTTTGCTTTGAACAGCTTTCGTATATCCATGTAGTTGCACCAATCAAGGGCAAATTGTTTACCGTTCTCATTGGTCGAGATTGGGTTGGGGGGGAGGGTAAAGCCTGTTCTTTTGGGGTCCAAGTTGAGCATTTTTCTCCACGGCCTCACCTGCACCTGCACGGCGGCAATATCTGGCCTCATTTTTGACGCCTACATAATTCTCGGTTGAAGTAACTGACGTCCCCATGTGGCGCAACCACCTAATTGGCATTTGGTGAGCAGAGGCTTCAACTCGATAGGCTGAGCGGTTTTCGCAGCGCCCCAACGCCTTCTGATAAAAAGGACCTGATCGATCCTCTCTAGTATTCACTCTTAAAGAACTAAATATGACTTCAGCGACAAATGTTTGCTTTCTACTCAGTCTTTCCGCGTTGGGTAAGTCAATTCTACCTTCATACAAGCAGTGCATAATAAAGTTAAACGTGTCTATAAATGCTTTTTTGTCTTTCCGCCTAGCATTCAGTAAGGTCAATGAGCAAACAATCTATCGTAAGCCTGGAACGCAAATCAACAACGAGTTTGTTAATGTGGAGTTCGAAGCGCAGGTACTTGGCTGACTTTTGAAATGAATGCCATATTCACTCGCAATGCATGCTAACTCATTACTAGAATCACTCCCATTTCATCCTGGCTTGCAATACTCATTATTCGAGTTTGGTTTTATAAACGCGATTCTTTGAGATCAGCTCCGAATTGTATTTTTACCTCATAGGCATTGAGGACCGGATGCAGTGACCCCGACAAATTATGCGGTCGGATAAGCGGTAAGTCGTTTTCACAGAAAGTCAAAACTACATGCAACAATTGTCATACCAAATTAATCCGCGTTTCTTTTGACAGGCCACAGGGAAACATTTACCATTCCTGCAAGCACAAGCATCACAACGGGCGACAATCATATCACCATTTTACAGTCTTCAGGCGCAGGTGCTTATATTCAAGTAAACGGTAAGCGACCTTCATGCATTTGGCAGTAATGTCCAAGGCAAATAACCAACCGTAATTCATATTACTTCTGCAGATCATATTCCACCACAAGGTCTTCTCGTACTTGGACGATTGGATGTGCAAAATGGTAGAGTAGTGACTGATGGACGTTTTACGGCTGAATTTCGCGTCACAGTAAGATCAGTCGGCATTTAAAATGCTTAAATTAACCACTACGTGTTTCAACTGCACCTTACTTATTTCCTTTCACAGGGCTCAAACCCACCACTTCCGCTGACAAATTTTAAAAGTAATCCAACTTCTCTTTCATCCTGACAATATAAGCTGGGCGTTTGTTTCAAATACAAACCGACCTTACGATTTGTACACCTGGTGATTTTGAAACCACCTATTAGTAATTATTGCCAGTTGGTGTAAAATTTGAAATTCTCCCCTGATGCTCACTTGAGAGAAAAGAATTATCACATGTATTACCAATGTAGGTCGCTTTTGAGGAGTCGCTTAGTTTTGCTTAAATGTCATATATCGTAACAGGCTGTTCACTCAGTATGCTTGCCAGTTTATATATTTAAAAAAATGACTAATCAAGCTGTCACCAGGAATCTATTGCTTACCTCGCAAACGTGCCACACGAAAAGAAAATGTTAAAACACTAAAAAGACAATGACGTCAATATTCATGCTCTGATGTAGAGTTTACAAGCCAACTTTTCCCTCTGTTTGGATAAACAATTTGGGACCCCTTCATATTGGCTTTGCGAAAGGCATAGCCCTCTTGTCAAACTGACGCTGAACTTCTTACGCCCAACTCCCTGAATTTTAGATGAAACAGTTGTCCTGCTAAACGGACCAATGGGAAATGAACCTGTCAGCATCATACTGGCGACCGATAACGATGGTGGCGGAGAGACTTTCACGCTGAAAATCCTTCCTGGCACTTCAACAAGCGGAAGTCCTGTGTCGACTCTCAAGGAATTCTGCCTGATCCCTGTCTTCCTAATGCTAGCAAAACTCTTTGCTGAAATGTGACCTGTCTGAAATACAACCTCCAGTCTGAGCAAGTTTTATGCGATGACACAGAAGCACTTCGCATCGTACGCTGCCCGTCGAGGTAGACACGCTAAAGGCTATCGATTGGCAAAATGGCATCTAGACAACAACTTGTATGCCTGGTTGAGGGAGATTTGGGAATGCTTCAGTTGATAGTACTCATAGTGCACTTAGATTGCGACAGGACATTACTAAAACAACAACAATATCCTTTGTCTCCGTGAATTTCGTCCCGGTTTGCGGCGTGTCAGCCCCATAATTAAATTTTCTGTCACACGTAGGGGGGAGTCGGGTGACTGTTTTGAGGATAATATCTGTTTACATAGCGTAGGAGTCGCCAATTTGTGAGGGGAGGCTTACATCTGCGGCCACGGGCCAACTTCTTCAAGCAACTAGTAAATAGTTAGATGCCCAGCTATATTTAATTGCGTTTTTCTGTGTCGATTGCCGAAAGTTATTTTAGGAGACGCTTTAAAGCAATCGAACGAGTTGGTCCGTCTAACGCCCATGCATGTGGATGGCAAGTGCGTCAACTCCAGTCCGCAAACCGCATCAAGAAGAATTAGAATCGAGGTGTTTAATTTTAATTTGCTATTTGCCATTCCGTTTAAATATACTCAAAGATCATTTACATACGTTTACGCATCTGGAAAACCACAAATAATCCAAGTATTAGAGAGAACTGACAATGTAAAAATGTCGAATTATTTGCCGTACTGACAGTACAGGTACTGGCAGAATGGTATTACCGAGAAGGACAAGTGGGACTGGAATGGCCATTTCTGGCTTATTAGTCGTCGTCAACAGTCATACCCAACCCCGAAGTTTTGAACACCTGAGGCTCGAACTCGCGACCTGTTGGTAAGAAGTCTAACGCCTCTAACAACGGGGCCACGGGCCGTTTTCCCATCGGTTTCGATCGAAAATATACAACCATTCTGCCTATATCATGCGCCGCTGTGCGGCTGCTGGTTGGACTCGAGAGAGAGCCCTTAAGGCACAACGGAACGAGTGAGATCCGTAGGGACGATCGGTGAGCGTCTTTCTACCATAGTACAGGTACTAGCCAAAAGGCGACATAGGAACTGGGACTTATATGCCAGGAAGCGTATGGGGGATGATTGGGGACAAAGTGATGGGCATTGAGCAATGACTCGTGCCGCCAGTATGGCAAATCATTCGGTATATTTATACTACTAACCAATCGCTAGCAGTTTGTGAATAATTTTGCGGTTATTGTACGGTAGCTGGTGGTTCTCTGTGCACATCTGTTGTCGGAGCGAGGCTTAAAAGTCTTATTGGAATGTAGTTGCACCAAGTTCTCTCGTTAATTACTGGTGTAATTAAAAATAGTGGCATTAAGGTGATACGGTAATGTCTACAGTATAAAATCCCCCCAAGCTGTTTCCACCTCCGCTATTACTTGTCGCAATTTCATTGGGAATAACAGGGCCCCAGTGCCCTATTTTAAGCTGCAATTTGCGACCCCGCCTTATTATACTGGAAAACTATTTATAAATAAGCATCCGACTATATGATTCAAAAAATATCCACCACGAATGGCTTAAATTTTCGGTACATTGTGCGATGATTCTGTTGCGAGTGAGTATTTGTTTAGCTGTGGGACTTTCTGTGAAATGCCTGCCCTTGACACCAAAATCTGGATATCGCTCTGATGAGTCCTCTAGAACAGCGGCAGTTCGCGCGATTTGAAGTGGCTGTTGGAAGCGTGTCCGCAACCTCCATCCGATAGTGCTCATATTGACTGTTTGGTTTCTGGCCCCAGCTAACTTCATTAGGTTGTGGGCGTAGAGGCGGATACACTTGATCAAACTTGGAAAGCGGACGCATACAGCGAGATAAGATAGAACTAAGTCTAGAGCTTGGTAATCCTTTTAACATCTAGAGAAACAGTAGGGAGTTTGGTCAATTCGCCTGGGGACTCCTCCGTGTTCTGATTTATTTCATTTGTAAGCGTATCTTCTCACTAGATGGTCTGCCTAATTTCTGGCAAACCCTGCCTTTAGGTGGCATTTTCAGTCGCATCGCGTGATGCACTCCCCTTCCCACAGAGCACGAGAAGGCGATAAGTGTATTTTGGGGCCAACTCAGTGCACTTGCGTTTACAGCAAAAACCCGTTCATAACAGCAAGGATTGTTTTCAAAGCCCAATTGTAAGCCTGCTAGGTTAGATATCGCCATAGAATGAGGACACTGTCGGGCACTTGCATAATTTTTTGTCATGCTAAATGCGGTCTTGCTCTTAATTCCAGGCAGCATATATTTCGTGTCCTAAATCTAAATCTAATCCTTACTTCCTAGATAAAACCCTAGTGATAACTTTCCTAACCTTCACCCGAACACTTTTAACCCTATACCTTACACTATTTTGCGCGCACACAACCCCACCCTCAAACATAAAATTTTCCCTCATCATAAACCGCAAGAACACGGACATGCCTCACGACTGACTATAGACAAATGCGATTAAACATGAGATTTTATCTGTTTACTTCAATAGCATGAGAACTTACCTGGATATCAAAAACGTCTGACTCCGCCCAAATCTGACTTGCATTTCTTTACCAGAATTAAGTAGAAGTGAAGCCCTCTTTAGGTAGTGGATTCCGGGGCCTCAAATCAATTTAATAAATACAAATAACTGCATCGAATGAGCGAAATACTCTTCATTCAAATTAAGACCTCAATATTTCATGAGTGAGACCACTTGCTGTAGGTTCAACATTCAATTTGGAGCACTGTCACATCAAAGTCTCCACATGATTCCTTTTTGGTGTAAAAGCGTCATCCTTGATTTCTTGGAGATTTGCTAAAGTTCCACTTTCTGTTGCACTGTTCAAAGAACATTGAAGAATCAAAAGGTAGCAGGAAATACCAAGAATGACAGTTCGCTAAGATTTACTAAAACAAACAGACGACTTCGTTCACTAGCAGAAGGGGGAAGACTATGCCACTTCCACCCCAAAAGAAACTAGAGACATTTGAACGAATGGAAGGCCGACTGCATTGAAGTTGCGAAAAACTGAATTCCTTGTAGTCATCGGATTCTTTTGCATATATCCCACATTACATGATCTTGACCAGCTTATTTTTAACCGTAAGTACACAAGGTCGATGAATTTGTAAACTATCGGGTACGATTTTTTTTGTCTTTTTCTTAGTTTTATTCAGTAAAAGCATTTCGAAAACTGTTTACAATATCATGGAATATCGCGCATTTCATGTTCCATATTTTATCTTAGTAAGCAGGATTTCCCGCATGTCACATGCTAATTAACATCCAATTGTAATGGAAGTGCGGCCTTATCATCTGTATTCTATCTCTATGACCTCTTCGTAGATTTAACAGAGGCATTTAATGCAGTCATCCACCACCGACTATCGATAATCATACGGAATTTCGTGTGTCTAGATTGTTCATCAGCGATCATTTTTCTGCGACCATACTGAGACCTGGTCAAGGCAATCCTTCAGAGCCTGGTGATGTGTATGATTTTTAATAGGGTGGTCAACAAACACATTGTCAGCATACTTAACTAAAAGGCAATTGTTTGGGGATCTTACACCATCCGTGTGGAGGGAAAAGATGTTAGGGAGTAAAGCGGGGCCTTCAAAAACTCCTCTGTCATTGGGAAGGATCGCATTCGACAAATTGTATTCGGAAAGTAAAATGATCGCCGTGCTAAGAACCAATCCAGCTCGGGGAATTGCACACGGGTTTTTCGGTAAAGAGAAGAGGACGCGAGACGTTATTGAAGGCGGAGGAGTAGTCAAGAAAAGCAGATGCGTACTTGCGACAGCCCTTGTATAATTCCCTTTGGGCAGAGCAGACCACAAGAGTAACAACATCTAGAGTACTACATTTAACCTTATATAAGAATTATAAAGAATCGGAAAATCTGTAAGAGAACAGCTTTATAATATCCACGGCGATTCATTTAGCACGCCTTACTAGTTCGGAAGAGCAGGCATTGGACGAAAAGGAGTTAAGATCAAAATTAGCGGATTTTTAGGAATGGGAGTGATACTCAGAATGAAATTTTTGTTGAAGAAGTCTAAATCAGCATTTACGTCTACCAGTGTGCTACGATGGCCAGTGGGACGCCTAAGATTCTTTCAAACTTCAACAGCAAAAGGATAAAAATAAGGGAAGGAAGAAGAAGCAGAAAGCTGACCAACAACCTGATCATTTTGTCTGGCCAAAACCATTTTTATTAAGATGGTAAGGTCCTTAAGGCTGTCACGTATGCCTAACTTAAAGGAAGGTTCTCCTTATATCTTAGGAATTTTAGATAGGAAGAATAACTTCTATCTGGTCGTATCATTGCAGCATCAAGAGGACAGCAAATATAAAAAATCTCAGTTTTAACTTTACTAAATAGCAAGAGCATGATTCGACATCCGATTGCATGAGGAAAGGGGAGATGGTATAATATATGCAAGTCTGAAGTAGGTGAATGATTTGTGTGGACACGTGGCGAATCCTAACCTTTCTCTCAAGTTTCTCTAACGGTGCACGTGTGGAGGTGGAGGAGATGTTTTTAAGACGAAACAAGGCAGAATAATCTAAACCTGAAAACGAAGCTCTTTCTTCAACACCAAAATCTTGAAGTAGTTGGTCAAAATGTGATCAAGAGGGACATCGGCACGAGACTTGAAGGAGACGTGATTATCAAAGCCAAAAGTGTGAGGACGCAGGTTCACGCGATTGAAATGACCGCATAAGAGTATACGATGTTCACAGGATTATGCAGCAAGTCTTGTAAAGGAGAGTCGAAATACGGGAGAAAATACATTCACATGTAGGGAAGGGGGGGGGAAATCTACTGAAATAACTTTCGATTGTTCACCAGAGACCATTTTCCTGCGACCATACTGAGACCTGGTCAAAGCAATCCTTCAGAGCCTGGTGATGTGTATGATTTTTGATAGGGTGGTCAAAAAACACATTGTCAGCA